CCATTCTCAGTCTCCACGACTGACGACCAACAAGGTCGGTTCCACCGCGAGCACACGGTGCAAGCCATGGCCCGTCCCTTGTGGATGTGGCCGTCGTCAATGGGCATTGAACGTGTCAGGCCACGCCACGGCTCCTGTTCGACGGGCGGCCCCCCCGCCCCTTTCCTTGCCGGCCCATTGCCTCATTTCACAGCTTCGACGCGGCGCCATTGGCATGGGTAGCCGGACAGACCGCGCGCAACAGCCCGGAAGATTGGCTTTCTCGGTCAGGGCCTCGCGACAAGGCTGCGTGGTTGGGTGGCCAGGGCCACTTGGTACATCGACGCCATGCTCCTAGCTTGAGCTGCTCGTCATCATGTTCATCTCCGCTGTCATACAACAACGCGCCATCGCCCCCTCGCTCAATCTCTGTACGAGCAGCCGTCAGGCGACTCCCGGCGTCGACACGCCCGTCACGCGCCGCGGCACGCAATCGCTCCGGCGGCGATCGCGGCTCTCGTCACCTTCAGCAGCCGGCCGGCTAACTTAGTACGAACGTGCTCCTTGCAGAGCTGCAGAACTCGCCACCCTTCATTGTCTCTGTACCAAGTACTGGGGCCCACGAGGGTTCCCGACAGGGTTGTTTGGGCGGCCATTGCTTTTTTTGTCTCCTACCCTGGGCTCCCGACCGTGTGGGCTGGCCTTGGGTGCCCATGCTAGCCTGCAATGAGCCTGGCGGAGAGCTGCGAGTGCTCCGTCCAAGCACTCAGTGCAGCCTGTCCGAGAAGCCTCGACCCACTCGGGCACCCAGCACGACCGCTCGCCTGGAAATCCCGTTCCCGCTTCTGCAGTTCCGACGTGCTGTGCTGGATCCCGCGAGAGCTGCCGCTAACTCGTTACGGGCGGACGGCGCCTGGTCCGCACCCAAGTTGGGACTGACGATGAGGAGACCATGGGCCCCGTCCTGATGGGGCCGCGTTGAACTCGACGCACAACTCTGCTGACCGCCATGGCCCTGCGTCTCCATCACCACCGTCCACGTTGCCAATACATGCGTACGTACCGGGCATAGGGGTGGGGATGCGCTCTGAAGTCTCGGATAGATGTCGGGCAGGGCAGGGCGCATCGTGTCCTTGCGGCGGCGGCGGCGAACCATGACCAGCCCCGTTTTGATATCCGTCCTGGTAGACAGGGTTCACAGCTTCTCGCCGCCATCCCGCTCCACGAGGTTCATCCCAAGACGGGGGAGCCTTCGCTCTTGTACCGCACTCTTGCAAGGCCGGCCAAGCTTGGGCGGTTGTGTCAGCTCCTGTCTGAGACGCTGGGCTGGCTGTTTTCCCGGCCGTACGGCTTGCTTCGTACATGCATGAACACTTCTGGCACCTTTGCTCGGATGAGCCGAACCGGGCAAATCTAGACTTTCCTCTTTCGCGCATCGAGAGCCCAGAAACGTTCCGCCGACGCCGGGGTGGTGGCTCAGAGCCTCCCGCTCCATCACATCCACCTCCCCCAGCGCGACCCAGGGACAAGGGACAGAAGAAAATTGGTGCCGCCACCTAGCTTGGACTGGACCACCAACCTGGCCAGTGGCCACCCAACCGTCGTGAGCCCTGCTGAAGTTGCCGGGGCCCTTAGCACCGGGGACAGTCTGGCAATGATGCACCCCTGCTCGTCCTGCTGCCGTGGTGAAGCAGGTACCTCCCAGTGAAAGTACTGGCTCTGCCTCTGGAGAGGGAGTGGCCGCCTCGCCATAAGCCCTTCAACCACCCCGGTCTCGAGAGCCCAACTGTTCAACCTCTCTCTGCCTCTTTTCCTTCTTCCCATCCGAACTTGCATCTCGTTGCCTCCCCACCTCGCAGCGGCGTCTTTTTGCCCTGCCTTGAGACAGTTTGCATGAACCCCGGCGTGATATCGACAAGACTGGCCGGCTGATCTCGTCGAGACATTCTGATGCAAACCTGCCTGATCAGCAAGGCGTTTCCAGCTTGCCAGCCTTGACAAACCTGCTCGGCTCTATCGTCAGAACAAGAACCGTCGGCAGCTGCGTGCTCTTGGGGTTGCATTCCGTTCACATCTCGACTTTCATCCTCGAGGTGAGTTGCATCGACCGCTTTCGATTCAATGTCCTTGCTCTATTTCACAAGGGCATAATTCAATGCGAGCGGCCTATGCACTCTGTTGTTTATCTTGGCCACTTCTAATCGTACCTTGTTCCTGACCAAGACTTGTAAGCGAAGTCTCCAGATCGCATCGCAAGCGTTTCGGCGCACTCTCAAACAGCCAGCCCAAATCGTCCTTCAATCTACTCGCCCGCATTTCGCCAGCCTGGAACGCCAATATCGCGATCAGAAACGCCTCCTTACCACGTCGACCTGGACTGTCACGAAGGCAAAGCGGTGCAAATTGTGGTAGAGAATTCGCCAGCTTGTCGCCACCTAGTACGACACTTGACTGCAAAGCTACTCTGGAATCTTGTTGCGACAGTGGTCTAAATACGACAATATAGACTCGTGCGAGCCTCGTACTCGAGACCGAGTTGCTGTGAGGTACACATCACTGCGAATTACCCCTCGGCGGCTTGATCGACCTAGACATAGCTGCCCTCGTCGATTCCATTCCGGGCAGTCGGAGGGAGTGCACATCTCTGCTGCAATTGTGCTCCCCAAAGAGTTGCTGGGACTGTTCGGGCACTGATTCCCAGCCGGTCCTGAACCGCAACGATCCAACCTGGCGAACCAGTCGGCAAACCCGTGGTCGCAGGCAACGCCTGCACAAGACAGCCCTGGCTCTGCAGTCACAGACTATACGGCTGCAACAACCCCCAACTCACCCCGGACGCCAGCAACGCCCCCGAGGCGGCCTGTCAGCCTCGCATCCAACTCTTCGCTGAAACAGTTGATCGGAGAACCATCGATTGTCGGTGGCGGCACAGCTCAATGCCCCGGTCCTCGGGACCAAGGAAACGCAGGGGACCACATCTCGATGTCGCAGAGAGGCTCGGTGCCGCACCTTGCTTCTCTCCGGTCTTCGAGATCCCCTCCCGGACGTGACGAGGCGTCTCCCCGCCAGCACGTGTCGGCCACCGGCAACAATGACGGGCGGCCCGAAAATAGTGTGGGACCTTCGGACGGGTTTGGACGGCCCCAGCAGCAATCATCCAAGTCGCTGGGGGTGCATAACATCTTGAATCCTTTCGATTCTCGACATATGCCACCTGAGGATGCTGCGCGTTCGGCAACAGAGAGCTCCGGCACGTCCACGCTGGCGGGCGGGCGAATATATGCCACCTCACGGACATACTATCCAGCTCCCACGGCGGCTAGCTCTCACCCGGGAACTCCTGTCGGAGGTATGGCTCCCCGTGGCAGACCCCCGTCATCCGAGCGGAACTCTCCCGTGACAGGCTATCCCTTCCCACCGTTGAATGATGCAAGAACGGGCACGAGCCCACGGCTTCCCAGGGCCACGAGTTTCAGCCAGGCTGTTCCGCCGAGGGAGATGGAGTCTCGACGACAATCGCTCTTGTCTAGTTCCTCGCCAGCCAAGCGACCATACGAGGTTGAGCCTCCGGAGGAACAGAGACAGCTTCCAGCCTTGCCTCCTAGCTTAGGTACGACTCTTCCAGCAGGTCACTCAATAGCCACACCGCCCGCGGCCCCCGGGCATCCCGTGTCACGTCCCCCAGATGCGATGTACATGTCGCAGCCGCCAGTGCTTCCCAGGGACGCCCAGGGTCGCCCGCAGTCCCTCCCTGCACATCCTCAATTTCAACAGAGTGGCGTGCTCAGCCGGCCAATGTCGGCCCTGGCGGGCCCTGAGCAAGGATCATGGTCCGATGCAATGCGCCGATCTGGGATGGGTTCCAACATCGCCCCAGCAGAAGGCCAACAAGCGTTCATGACGTTGCCTGGAAGCGATACGCCGATTCCGGTTCAAGTCGACTACTCGCAAGCCTCGAAGAAGGCGGATGAAAAGCGACAGCGCAACGCAAAGGCCTCTACGAGGCATCGCCGGAAGAAGAAGACGATGCAGGAGGAGAATATGCGGCTCTTGCAAGACCTCAAGGACGAACGTCAACAGATGGCGTTTGAGGTAGATGATCTGAAGCGGCAGAGGGACTTTTACCGCGAGGAGCGAAACAGACTTCGCGAGATTGTGGCTCGCACCGCTGGCATCCACCAACACGCAGCCGGCCCACCGACTCCCCCGATGCGAAGCATCGAAAGCCTTGCAGACAGGAGTCCGGGATCGCGTTCGCACATGCCGACTCCAACGCCAGGGTACGCGAGCGATCCGTCGTCGGCGGAGCGGCCATCGCAACGACGAAGGACGGAGGACCGACCGGAGTACACAACGTCTGCGTACGGTGCTCCCGCGAGCGGGCCACATCAGGCGATGGGCCCCGGGGTGGGTAGCAGCCAAGCTTATGGAATGCCTCCCCGGCCGCTGTCGGCCTCGTCGTCGGCCAGCGGCGAAAGACTGCCGCCTTTGCGAGCCATGGAGGGGCCTGCTCCCGTGCAAGGCATTGGAGGAAGGCAACCGCAAGAGCAGGACCCCAGAACCGGACAGTGGCGGCCAGCGCAGCCGCGGCAATACGAAACAGGCTGGGCGACGGGGGCGAGGAAGACGCACGAGGGACACCCGGCGCAGGGACACCCGTCTCATCCATCACAATGGCAGTGAATCGGAACAACGTTGGCAGGTGCCGCTTACACCGCCATGGCCAGCTGCTGCGACGAGGTCTGGGACTCCAGTCTGTGGGGGCTGTTGCGAACGAGGCGTCGGATATGCGCGGCCGACGTAAGATGCAACCCGATTGCCGGACGTGGCATGCCTGGCGCACCATGGTTTGCTTCGAAGGGGTTGTGCTCGAGAGACGCGAGATACACCACTCAGCCGGGCGACCGGCATGTTTTATTCTAGCCAATCTTTGATTTGCGGGCGCGTTTGGGGCGGACCAGGCTTGACTTTGGGACGACTTGCTTTCACGGGGCTTACGGGACCGTACTAGCGGGCTATACGACGGCGTGGGATGCGCCATTGCTTTTGAAAGTTGTTTGTTATACCCAACAGAAGAAGCCGACCAGCATGAAGACTGGAAGGGCGGTTGCAGTCCACAGACGACGCCTGATGGGGGGACATTCGTGTGTCACTTAGATGCTTTTCGGTTGGGTTATGTTTCTCTACGTTCCCTTTGTATTTTTACGCCTGCAGCACAGGATACCCCGTCAGAGACAAGCAAGAATGGATCGCGCGCATGGAAGAAGATACCCAGGGCAGTTTGGCGAATCAAAGGCAGGGGCGGGCTTGCAGGGCGACACAGCAGAGGTGTTTTGGGCGGCGTTTGCGTGGGTGGTGTTGAAGGCGAAGGTGTACCGGCGGCGGGAGGACAGATACTGGTACGTCGGCGGGCCACGTTGGTGCCGCTTATATGTCTAATTGTAATCGTCTGTTGAAGCTGCTCTCTGTACATTGTGCGGCGTGCCAGAATGAAGGCGAGGGGATGCTGCGGCGGTGATGGCACGACGTGTTGTTGCAGGGCTCTGGCTCGACACCGATGCCAAGTAAGAGGTGCGGTCCTCTAGCTGCGGAGCATTCGGGTGGCAAGGGCCAGATGGCTGGCCCATGTATCATTATGTGAGTGAGTATTATGTATGTACTGTATGCAACTTATTGTTTTGTCCTGTTAGCTGTGCGTGCGATGGCGTCACTCCTGGCCGGCCCGGCTGCAGGCGGCCGTGGAGCTGCGAGGTTGTGTGCCCGTCGTCGCTCTCTCGGGCCCCCGGTGCGCGAGCAGGTAGATGTTAATTGGTACATGGGCACTGGCTGGCTCCGACTTGGAGCGTGACGCACGGCCGTTGTGTTGTATCATGACGACGGGGAAGAGTTTCCAGGGTTTAATGATGGCAGGCACCGAGTGACAAGCTTGACAAGATGCCCAGAGGAGGAGCTGGCTGCCGACTGCTGGAGGTCATTGCCGAATTCGGACGCTGCAGCCACGTGTGGTGGAGCTGCCGCCGCCGCTGCTGCTGCTGCTGCTCCTGCCGCCGCCGCTAGTGCTACATTTTACCGCCACGCCCCTCTTTCTGCAGCCCGCGCCGCTGCTTAGGTAGGTTTGCTCTCGCCAGCAGCTGGGGAGCTCCACGCTGAGGTGGCTACATCTCTTCTAGGCGTCCCCGGCCCACCTGGCCTCGACTCGCCTCGATCTCATCCTCAGCTCTCCTCCTCTCCAGCCCCGACCAGCTGCACGCGCGCAACCCGCCCTCAGGCCGCCGCCACCCCAACTCGTCGTGCTTCAGAACCGCGCTTCTGTCCACGTCCACGTCGAAGCCCGCATCGAACGAGTCCAGCCGAGCCGTCCGGCGCCTCGAGTGTCGTCGACCGCGGCGCAATGTCCGTCCCGTTCCCCCGCGCGAGCATCGAGCTCGACTACCCGCTCTACGCCCTCGACTTCGACCCCGAGGATGCGCAGCGCCTCGTTGTCGGTGGAGGAGGCGGTGCCGGCCGCTCCGGCGTCGGCAACAAGATCGTGCGTTTCCCTGCCTGCAGCAGTCTCTCACCCGTCCCCCACGCACCGTTGCTGAACAGCTCTTCCATCCCAGACCGTTTTGGACGTCGCATCGCAGAACGAGCTGCGCGTAGCCGCCGATGTCGAGCTCTCTCGCGACGAGGACAGCGTCATGTCCCTCGCCGTAGGCCCGCGCAAAGGCAAGACGACATACGTGTTCGCCGGTGTGAATTCGGGCCCCGATGACATCGCCAAGGGCAAGAACGAGAACCTGCGCACCCTCGCCATTGAGCAGTCCAAGGCCCGGGGCTCCGCCGGCGTCAAGACCCCCGAAGCCAAGGTCCAGGAGCTGTCGCGCGTCGCCGCCTTTGCCAACCCCGATGCAGATACCTACCAGCGCCTGCTGCGGGTGTGCGGCCCCGTTGGCGCCGCCGCCACGGCCATGGGAAAGGACCCTCAGATCGCCGTTTTCGATGCCGTCCCTTCGGCGGGCGGCGTGCCCAAACCCAGAGGCGTCGTCGAGCTGCCACGCGACGCTGAAGACTTGGACATTGTGCAGACCGGCGACGGCCAATTCCAATTGGCATTCTGCCACAAGTATGAGCTGCGACTCCTCGACATCGGCAAGGAGGAGACGGAGCCACGACTCGTTTTCACGATGCCCGACGACCACGGCGAGCGGCCAGTCTTCCGCTCCATCAGATACTTGTCCCCAGAGTTCATCCTTGCCGTCTCCAATCTGCCAAAGCGGAGCGGCGTGCTAATCCAGGGCTTCCGTCTGCCGTCGCCCGGCCACGAAAACGCTCGCATCGCCGTCACGACGCGCATACCGCGCAAAATCTCTGCTACTGCCATGGCCGTCGCCAACCTCGCGCCCTCCGAAACACCCGGCGGCCCTCTGCGCGATACGCAGTTCATCGTCGCCGTCGCCGGCAACGACTCGTCCATCTCCATCTACACGCTTGAGCACCAGCTCTCGACTGCGCTGAACCTGCTCCACGACCTGTATCCCCTTTACACGCTCAAGGACGTCCACGGCGCCGACAACATCACCGGCGTCGCCTTCTCCCGCTTCGTCACCCCCAAGGCACACATCCGGCAGCAGTTTATCAAGCTCGCCAGCATCTCGCTCCAAAAGTCTGTTGCCGTGCACAGCATCCCGCTCAAGAAGTTCGTCGACCGCCAGCCCCGCAACGCCAAGGCACCGCCTCGCCCGGCGAGATACGTCACCGCAATGAAGGCGCGACAGCCGTCGCATCGCTCCCTCATCATAACCCTAACATGCATGGTGCTCCTCATGGCCATTGTGTACCAATCCGTCATGGAAATGTATGGCCGGTCACGCCCCATTCTCTCTGCGCAGCAATGGCTCCCCTCTTGGCACGGCACATTGCGCTCCCCGGACCACCAGCCGCCCGTCTTCTTCGAGAACCACATCATCTCCAAGCTCGCCGGCGGCAAGACTCTCCTCGAGGGCGAGACCATGGTCCTCTACGAGACCCAAGCCCCCAACGGTGAGGCCGAAGCCACCCTCACTGCCGACGTTCATGACCACGAGGTCCACGGCCCAGCTAAGAAGTGGGAGGACCTCTCCGCCCCCCAGAAGCTCGCTTGGCGCCAGCGCCTGCGCGAGGCGGGCGCCTGGACGCAGGGCATGGGCGAGAGCGTCTTCAAGGGCATCCTGTTTGGGCAGATTGCTGGCGCCATAGGCGACGCTGTGGGCAACTAGTGGCGGTCATAGCAGGCGGCAACGACATACAAAGAGAAAGAGCAAGAGGAGGACCATTGACCTGGATCTGGTCGCGTGACCGGTGATCATTGGGTGGCTGTACACTTTTTTCACTTTTGATGAGACATACGGGACGCTGTGGTTTGTGGGCTTGAATGCCTGGTTCGGCTGAAAAGGAGTTGTTGGTCTTGGTATACGGGCCTGGCTGGTGGTGGGAGGTGTAGGTTTGTTTGGATGAGGGGGCTGGGCGTGTACGGCATGAATTATTGACAACACATATGATGCATTCTTGATGTCGAAAGTCCCCATCCTCGTGCTCATAACCATCATTTATACCCAGCCTCTCGCATTCCGTCGTGTCAAGCAACATGAACGGGTTTAGAGAGCTGCCCTCCTATTGCCTCTACGTGGTCCTGGAAATCACCAATGGCCTGCACACTCCCCCGGCACATACCTGGCCACGTCCATGGCCACAGCCATCTTGACCTCGGGGCAGTAGCCGTAGATGTGGCTCCGTAGCTCCGGCGCCCCCCATATCGACGAGTGGAGGTACTTGCCGCTCCCGCCCGTGTGGTAGCCCATGGGCTCGTAGAACCCCGTCCTCCAGTCGTCGATGCCCCTGACGTGCTCGCCCCCCTCGTTGCAGAGCAGCATCGTGCCGTTGTTGCAGAACCTCGGCTCCGCGGGCGCTCCCTCCCCGACGCCGCTGTGCATCTCCCCTGAAAACGTCAGCGAGACGGACCCGTTTGCGACATTTGCGCCGGGAAAGTGCGCAAGCCGCTCCGAGAGCCACACGTCCTCGGGCTCGCTGTCCTCCCGCCGCTGCTGGCGCCGCAGCACCTCCACGATGCGGCTCACGCGACGCAGCGACAACCCCCCGTTACCTCCCCATTGCGCGTCGGGCGTCCACGGCGCGCCCACCCAGTCCAGCCCCAGGAAGGCATCCACGTCGAGGCGGCTGTTGGCGCAGAGCGTCGCATCCGTCTGGAAGACGAGCAGCCACTCTGCGGGCGGCGTCCCGACGGCCACCTCGTACAGCCACCGCGAGGTGAGGAACCGGCTGATCATCTCCTGGCCGGCGGTGCTCATGTTGGCGGGGATGGGCCGCAGGGAGAGCTTCCCCGTGCGGACGTGGGCGCGCGCTGGGGCGGAGGCGTTGAGCGCGGAGAGGGAGGCGGGGGAGCCGAGGAAGAGGAAGGGCCATGAGGGCGGCAGGACGGCGATGAAGTGTAGCAGGATGGGGGCGAGGACGGGCTGCGGGCGGTCTTCGATGAGGAGGGCGAGCTTGGACGCGTTGAGCGGCGGAGAGGCTTGATGTGGGAGAGTCGTCGACGGAGTAGGAGGATGAGGTGGCGCGGACAAGACGACGAGTAAACCGAAGCTGCTTCGTTCCTGTCAGAGACCACATTGGGGCTGTCATGACCAGTGACAGAGTATTGAGGATCACAAACAGGGCGAGGGAAAGCACCAAGAGGAGGCGGAGGCATCGGGTGATGTTGAGACGGCGGGGAGCGGCAATAAGGAGCATCTTTGTGCGCGTGCAGACGATCAAATATTCTGCCGTAACTTGGCAAAGCAGGACGGCAAAGAGACAAAGCCGTAAATTACGAAGGCTGAGACTCCAAGAAGAGTTGCAGTGCGTTTACAACGAGATGTAGAGCTCACGTGGCACATGGCATCGAGGTTTGACAGTGGCAGCAGGTGCCCTTGGATCACACCTTCCGTGTGCGCACCACATCACTACCCAGAGGGACCTTCAACACACAAAGCCAACAGCCTTCGGACTTCCTACTTTTTTCCATCTGAAACTCAACGGGGCTCTGCATTGATGAGAAATTTGCTCCTCCGATCACCATGGCCATCCTCAGCTCGACGAGTGTCATCAACATCACCAAGACGCGCCTCCTTGTTGCCGTCTCTCTCGCGTTCACGTACGTACACGGATGTCTCTTCATGCCACTACTCTAACCGGAGCAAACAGTTGGACGGTTGCGTTTCTGGTGCCTCAGTACCGGCCCATCGTCCAGGCCAGCGTGTCGTCCCGCATTCACGATGCCCGCCAAAGACTCCCGGACCTCTGGCCCGTATGGCCTCTCGCCGGCCGTTCGGAGCCGTTGCCACCCCCGTACTACTACAACACCTCCAAGGTCGCGCTCATAATTGAGCCCCGGGCTTTGCCGCACCTGGCACCCCTCATCGTGCACATGATGGCCGTCGTTCCTCCCGAGTGGCGCTTCCTCTTTATCGGTTCCTCCTGGAGCACTTACTCCGTCGGCCGGGTGCCCAGCATCCGCCACCGCCGCGAGGCCGGCAAAATAGATGTCGTGGCGCTTTCCAGACCATGGAATGCCGATACCGGGGAGGACATCTCTCGGCTTCTGACGGACCTGCGCTTCTACGACACGTTTCTCCCCGGTGTCGAGTGGATCTTCAAGTTTGAGCAGGACAGCATCCTGTGTGCCAACTCGCCCAGAGATCTGGACGACTGGCTCGACTGGAGTTGGGCCGGCGCGCCGAGGCAAGTCATCTCAAAAGTATTTTGGGGTTTGTATTGACATTGCAACAGGAGCACAGACGACCACTTCTCGGGTACCGGAGGTCTTTCTCTGAGGCGAGTCTCCTCTATCCGACGGGTTCTCGCCTTCCAGGAACGGCACAACAATTCTGAGCCCGAGGATGAGTGGTTTGGAAAACGCCTCTCCCTGATGCCCGGCGAGAGGGTGGCACACCAGTTCCAGGGAGCCATTGCTGTCGAGAACATCTTACTGGAGAAGCCGATGGGGTACACGGTCCGTGGGGGGCACGATGGCGGCTATCTCGATCACGACGTGTGGAAGGATGCCGACTTGCGAAACCGGATCTTCGGATATTGCCCGGAGCTGTCCATCATCATGGACATGAAGCTCGAGAGGGAGAGATGCCCGGACGATAACGGACGAGGCGGCAGAGGCACGGAAAAGGGGCTCCAGGACTTGGACCTGGCGAAGCTTGCGGTTGAAGTCAATTCGGTTCATTACGATATGGGAAGCGCAGGAGAACCTGCGCCGTTGCCGCCCCAGCCGCCTGCCATGCCACAGCTCTAGAAGCTTGGTGATGGCTATTCGTGGCCAAGGTCACTCGAGGTTGAAAAGTGGTTCAGCGCGGAAACTTGCTCACCGCGGCCAGCAAGCTGTTGATCGATAGCTGTCGAGTCCCGATTCGCAAGCATAAACGCCTTTTCGATGTGCCCCCCCTCCGTGCCCCTTCGGCCCGTTACGGTGCTTGCTCGATATCTAGCGTTCACGTCATCCGTATCAAAACGGCGATGCCCAAGTAGAGTTTCGTTGTGTCAGACTGTGTCCTCACCCCCCCCCCCCTTGATTGTCTACCCGTCAGACCTAGGCAGACCTTAAAACCCCAGCCACACGGCACATGCCAGGTCCCCAGGCTTGCATTTGGCTGTTTGGTCGTAAAAAGATCCGGTCGCTCAGCCCTGCCTGGCCGCCAACCAGGCCGTCGGGTTTGGTCGCTCCGCCCCCCTTCCCTCCCCAAGCCGGGCGGAGACGGTTCGCGGCCATTGGCTCGAGGTCGCATATATGCTCCGATAGCCAGGGTCCCTTGGTCTTCTCGCGCTGCTCCGTTCCGACTTACACGTAGGTACGGCCACAGGGCGAGGTGAGAACGCCTTTTGCCGCCTTGGAGCCTTGCCGGTAGCAGCCAAAGCGGTCTTTTGCGCCCGGGACTTTGCAAACAACAGCCACAAGGCTGAGTGGTGCCTGGGCTGGGGTCCGGGGTCGGTGGTCGGGGGCCGGCGGCGGCGGCGGCGGCGAAACGGTATACTATGCGCCGCCCTCTCTCTGTCGCCTCTGTCGCTGTGCAAACGGTTCGCCGTCGGCAGTGGCGGCGGCGGCGGCGGCGGCGGGCGGTTTCTCACGCGAGTGGTGAGGTGGTGCATGCCGTCTCACTCTTTGACAAATGCAAATACTTCCTCTCTGTGCAATAGCAGCATTTCCTGCGCGCCACCGTTTACCTCCCCTCCCCTCACCCGCCGTTTTACCCGCGGCTAAAAACTGCCGCCGCGGCCCTTTGAGGAACGTTGGGGCTTTTATTGTTGTTGCTTGTTTGTTTGGAAACGACTGCTGCTGCTTGCGAGGCGGCCGACGCGGCGGCGGCCACCAAGTAGTCGCGAGCGAGCCATGTCGCACGCGGTTGTTTCGCTCGCCGCACACCTCCTCCATCTCTGCCTCTCCCTCTCTCTCACTCTCTCACTCTCTCTCTTGCTTTATCGCTCTGCCTTTCTTCCTTCCACCGCTGTGGTGGAACCTCCTGGATGGTGTTGTTGCCTGCCGTTTTGGCGGGCCAGATGTTTGTTGGGTCGTCTTCGCGCGGGCAGATACTTCGTAGAGCTGATGATGCTGAAAAGTCGCCCTGCCTTCGCCTTGCCGCCCCCAAGTTTGGTCCGCTGGCGCCTTGAGGTGCAACGCGCGGGCAGACGACCACACACCTACACACGCACACACACACGCACACACATCTCGGCGCAGGCACGCATCGAGACTCGCCGGCGTGAGGCACAGCTCCGGGTGTCTGGACACGCCCCCTCCCCCGCTGAGAGCCTTGATGCGTGTGTATGCGCTTGCAGTTTGTGCGGTTGCCTCTCGCCCTGATCTAGCCGCCCAGCTGCGCGGTAGTCCGGAAAGACAGCTATTCGCATGGTGAGCTGAGAGTACGTGAACGCTTCTACAGAGATACGTTGCTACTGCTTGAGTGCTTGGGACTCCAGTCCAGGCAAAAGACGCCACTCGAGACTTCAAAACAGAGCTGGCATATCGCTGCAGCTGCCTTGAATGGCATCAAGCCCTGTATATGATAATCCCGTTATTCGATGACAGAAAACTAGCGCCAGGCCAGCCATCCCGCGCCCTCGCGGCCGTCGCAAACCGCTCGAGGGGGTGCAACGCAGTTGGTTTCGCCGTTGGGCGACATCACCTTGATTGGCTGCCTGGCGAGTCAGCTCCCCCTTCCCAACTCTCTACCTGAGTGGTATCACTGAGCGGCTGGGGAGGGGGGGCACGAGAGAAAGAAGCCTTCCATAGCAGCGGGGTTGGGCAGATGATAGGTACCAGATTGCGTGTTGAGTGTGTATTTATGTGACGTAGACGCGTGGAACTATATGAATGAGCAACGGGGCGGCCATTGAAGTCGTCGATTCTACCTTCGGGAAGCAAACAAGTTTGAAAAGGCGGGCAGCGGTTGGACGTTGGAACATGACAAAGGCGCCCGAGGGTCACGTTTGAGCTTGTGAGTGCAGGCATCGGGCTACTGTCAAGCTGAAACATATGAGGACTGTGCGTTGCAACATGTCGTGGGCGACAGGCGCAATGGTTGAGTCGTTGGTAGAGTGGTGACCCTGTGTTCGTCACCTACCTTCGCTAAACGAACGACAGTGCTACTCTATCAAATTCGACGGGAGATGATGATTGCCGAGGTTCAAAGCCCCACCTCGGCGGAACTTGGAGAAGGGCATGTATCCTGCGCCGTGGAGCGAGGCCAAACATCGGGCTGTTGCTGTCGAGCCTCGTCGAGGTTAGATAGACATGCCTCATTGCATTCTACATCGCCCAGAGGTAAGCGGGCTACTTCTGGTCATGAGGAGAGGAAAGGGAATCTACACGGTTTTGCCCGTTCCCTCTCTGTGTTTGTTCCATCTCGTACTGATGGAAAACCTCCCGTCAACGACACGAACCAGGTCAAGTATGAATTGACGCCTCAGATAGCCTCGGGCTGGGAGCCGGGAATTACCATCCCATGTCTGACACGGCTCGGAATTGACGGGCATATAGACGTGTCGTCTCCAGTCTGAGGCATACCCAGGCCGTGCAAAAGCATGGCGTTGACATGACAATGGTAACGATGCTCCTGTTCCACGGTGCAGCGTGCATGCAAGTCGTACGTGCTTCGTCATAATCAGCCGGTCCAAGAATTGAGATACTACCTCACCACGAGGGCAGGAATATCGATGGCACGATCCGGCGGACGGCTGAGGCGAGAAGCGGTAGAGGCCGGCACAATCCAATGACACGATGCAGCACTGATGCCTCCCTGCCTACCGCACCTTTCTTGGTACGGTGAGCTATGATCTCCAGGACGAATTCCAGGGAAGGGACCGAAGATGGTTCGAACCAGAACCCGTGGTGGAGCCGCGTGGGATAGGCTCAGGGAGCGGGCTGCGTAGTGTGTCAAAGAGTTCACTTTAGGCAAGCCTTACATGGTCCATAAAAATGGGTTTGCATAGCAATGATTCAATGCCGGGGCGTAACGTTTCGTTTCGCTGTGTGATGTGGCATTGCTGCTGTTTTCGCGGTAGTTGTTCTCTCCTCTACGGTACTCGGGTGAAGCTGGCGACAGAAGCTCATACCGGGTAGCTGAGCGGGTTTGTTTGCCCGCGGGTTGCTCTCCACGCCTGACAGTCGATTCATTACGTTGATGCAAGTTTGCTGATCGCCATGCTTGCCGGCGAGGCACCATGGCTTGTTGGCAACGACACTGCAGGTTCGTACAGGTGCGGCGCTATATACCGCACTCAAAGCGAATAATCGACAAACTGCTGGCGATGCCAGGTTTTGGCATGGACGAGTTTCCTTTTTCCTGGGGCTGGTGATCGCAGGTGCTTTCGGTGTCTGGCATGCTGCGCCAGGGGCCATGTCGTCTTCGCCCGCCTTTGACCAGGGGGCCCTCGTCTAGCTTGGCGGCAAGGTCGCCAGCTGCTCCCTGCACAATGCTCCGTGGTTCTGGAATTGCCCCCCATCTCTGTCGGTGTCGACTTCAACCGTTTGCGGGCCGAGTGGAAATTATCGAGTCAAGATGCCTGACGCGACGTGATACGGGAGGAGTCATGCATCTGCCACGATGCGAACTGGGCTTACCTGTATGCCTGTTTGCCTCCGGTCAACAACAGAACGTGCCGTTCTGCAAAGTACAATGCCGTTCCGTGCCTCACGGAGGGGTGGGCCGAGGTGCGCGCTCCGCAAGTGAGACAGGCATTGGGCATGCGTCGGGGCTCGGTAGGGGCCAGACCATGTCCGGAGAAGGCATGGCCTCGTCCCTTTTGGCACATTCTGCGGCTGACCCCCAGTCTCCGCCGGCCGTCCTCGATGCCTGGGCCTTGCCCGTCGCCCACGTCTTCTTGTCTGTCTGTCTGCTTGCCTGTCCGAACTGGCGAGTACGGATGACGAGCATTGCTCACTTGAAGCTGCAATCAGTCAACTTACAGCTCGACCAAACGCATCGTTTCGTCGTCGAGCTTCTTGAATGAATCGTCCCGTCGAGCCTTGTGCCGCCTGCCGCGTTTTGGTCTGCCCTGTCGGCGGTCAAGCCGTGTCAATCATTCGTGCCCCATGGGACGGCCACCCAACACGACGGGACAGCAAATGACGGGGACCAACCAGACGCGCAGGGGGTCGCTGTCTTTGGACGAGAATGGAAGCACCAATAACGCCACGATGCGCATCTGCTTCCGGGAGAGACGATGCGCATGTGCGAGCCACGTACGGAGTATGTAGGTAAGTAAGGTATGTGCTTGGGCGCGGAGGAATAATGATGAGATGCAGAACTTGTGGGAGTGGTGTGCGGGAGAGTGTGCTGCTCCTTGATGCGTGCACGCGCAGGCATATGCGGCGGGCGTCACTTGGAATCGGAGCGACGAGATTGACGTGTTCGTCTCTCGTACCGGTTCGCGGGGCCACAAGGTGACTTCCAAGGTTCTTGGAGACAAGCAGGCGCCGAGGGGAGGCGGTGGGAGGAGCGACCGGCGATGCACTTCCACAAGTACCTCCTGGGTACCTGGGCCTGGAAGATCTGGCAGGGCAGGTGCTACAGAGCGCGACAAATTACAAAGTACAGGTAATACTTTTAACTTGATGCGAAAGTAAGGGACGTCAGTCAAGGGACCGTAAGGTACGCAGCACGTAGGTAACTTACTGTAGGCACCCAGACTGCAAACCTGAAGTACGAAAGGCTTGTGCTTCACTCGCGGCGGATGCCCGGGCCACGTACCTGCGACAGCAGGGACCTGTCATAAAACCAGCGTGTGGGGGGGAGATGA